ATTCTAAAATTTTATCGATAATAATAATAAATAAAAAAAGGGCAGATAAATGATTCACTCCTGGAGAAAAAAAAAAAAATTATTATTACGCCGTGTAATAAATATATCTGAGCGAGACGCGATTTATTTATTTTTTCTCTTTCTTCTTCCACGATCGTTTCACAAACACTTGTTGTTCCGGCTGACTGGACAGGCTGGACACCTGGAAACACGACGCTGGATAAAATCCAATGAATTAAATAATAATAATAATAATAATAATAATAACAATAATAATAATTCCAAAAATTTCCCTTTAGGCCCTTTTCCAATTAAAATAAATAAGTAAATTTCACTTATCGATACTGTCGACCTTGATAAATTCCAAACGAGTATCGAACGGTTTTAAATCGATATATCGCTTAATAACGATCGATATGTACGAGTATCGAAGAACACCTCGTCCTCGTCGTTATCGTCATAAAAAATTTTTTTTAAAAAACATTTTTCTTATCATTTTTTTTCTAGAAATTTTCATTTAATTTTGTTATATTCTAGCTATTTGACGTCGATATTCAATCAATCAATCAATCAATCAATCAATCAATCAATGAATTAATAAATGATCGATACAAGTTTAATCTCTTTTAATAGGAGGCGGAAAAAAAACCTGTCGTGCGTTTTTCTATTTATAAAATCATAATAATAATAATAATAATGATGATGCAAAACCTTTTTTTGTTCTATGACGTCATTTTCTCCATCGTGTTATCTTTTCTTCATCGCCATTTTTTTTCTTTCTCCAGCCAGCCTCTCTAAAAACGATCCTTTCTTTTATTATTATTATTATTATTAATCGAGGATTCCAATGAATTTTCGATTGATTGCACAAATAAAAAAAAATTTTTTTTTTTTTTGGTTCATTTTGCAGTATATTATTATTATTATTATTATTATTATTATTATTATTATTATTATTATTATTATTAATATCATTCCCTTATGAGTCAGTACAAGCAGTAGACAAAAAAAAAAAAAAAACCGTTGCAAAATATCTGCAACGGATTTTGTAACTTTTTTTTTCATTTTTTTCTTTCCTATTCCTTTCACTCATTCCATCGTCTCCCATGTCGCCATTCCCTCCTCCTTTTCCAGATTTGTTAAATGATAAGTATCGAGAGTCCGCCATTTTGTCGTCCGCCATTGTGTTAAATTCTTAACACAAAAACGATAAATAAAAAAATAAAAAAAAAAATTGTCCTTTTTAAATGCCGGAAAACAACAACCGACAACCAACAATCAAACAACAACAAAAATAACAAATCGCACAATAATAATAATAATAATAATAATTAATTAATATTACAATTATAAACGCGAACACATGCACGAACGATAAATAATAATAATAATAATAATATTGAACACATCAATAAATCAATAAATGAATATTATTATTATTATTATTATTAATTATTACCACTACGGTTGAAGGTAATAAATTCTTATTAAAATTACAGGTAACCAAAAAAATTTTCATTTGTTACATTATTTCGTATGAATATTAAATAATTGTTGTTTGTCTTATTTACGTAACAATCATTTCACCTTCCTTGTTTGTCGTCTCTCTCTCTCTCTCTCTCTCTTTTTTGCTTTTTTAATGAACGACGAAACATAAATAAAATAGATTTATTGTCGTCTGCTATTTATTTACTTTTTTTTTTTTTAAATTCGATAATTTTCGTCATTGTTATTATTTCGATCGGGGGGAGGGGGGGGGGAATTTTTTTTGACAATAAATCTATTCTCCCTCTCTCTCTCTCTCTCTCTCTCTCTCTCTCTCTTTCTGTTAGTCTACCTATTTCTCTCTCTCTAAAAATAAATGCAATTCGATTGTACGCATGATGCAGTTAACGTTAAATACAATTATCATTATTAAAAATGTATGTAATTTTTTTTTTTTCCACGTGACGCATCACGTGGAAAACCCGCAATTAAATAATAATGATAACAATGATAATAATAACAATAATAATAATAATTATTATTATTATTATGATTATCATTCTCGTATTTTTCTTTTCGTGCAATGCGCAAAATTTGTAAAAATATATAATTTTTTTTATTAATTACAATATCCGTGCGAATTTTGTTTGTTTTGTATTATTAAAAATAACTCACGAACAAACAAACAAACAAACAAACAAACAAAACCTGTTAATTGTTATTTATTTAATTGTTTTGATAAGGATTTTTAAAACAAAACCAAAATTAATCCGACAACAATACAAATTTTCTTTTTTCTTTTTTTTTAAATATATATAAAATTTTCTAAACCTTGAAAATTCTATCGAAAAAAAAGAGATAGATAGATAGATAAAGAGAAAAAATGGGAAGAGAGAGAGAGAGAGAGAGAGAGAGAGAGAGAGAGAATGAGGGAATTTCGTTTCGTTTGACCTCGACTGTATCAAATAATAATAATAATAATAATAATAAAATAAAATTACAAATAAAATTTTAGCAATGTTTTTAACCCTTTGATAACGACACACCGAAACGCGAATACGTAAAACACGCAAACAACAGACAAACAAACGAACAAACAAAATTTTATTCTCTTTCTCTCTCTCTCTCTGTTTTTGTCTTCCCTTTTTATTTTTTTTCGATAGAATTTAAAAGTAGTGATTAGCGGTATTAGTCACCCCCTCGGCTTTTAGTTTCGGTCCTTTTGATTTTATCAAATGGCAAAACATTAAAAGAGAGAGAGAGAGAGAGAGAGAAATCGTGACACGTTAAAAGGTTTTATTATTATTATTATTATTATTACATATTTTTTTATTCGATTAAAATTGATTATAAATCACGAACACCCAAGAGGTGATAAAAGGAAAGGAGGGGGTCGGGAAATCTCTTTCCAAAAACGCCTTGAAAAAAATTGTTTTTACCGCAGCAAATACTTTTGCAAACATGTTATTGCGGAAATTAATAATAATAATGATAATAATAATAATAACGATTGAAATAAAGTAGATTTGATACATAAAACGATCACTTTTTAATTTTTGTGACTTTGAAATTAAGTGACTAAAATTTCCATTGTTGAACAAAATGCACCAATCAGATAAATCCCCCACTTCCCCCCTTCCAAAAAAAAAGGAAAAAAAATTTTCCATTTTCTCTCTCTCTCTCTCCCCCATCAAACAATTCTTAATTATATCCAATACGAGAAATTATATTTAAAAAAAAAAAAACGAAAGAAATTTAAATGATGGGACGTAGTAAATGAAAAACCGCATTGAAAAATCTCGACTAATCGAATCTATCGAAAATACATATATCTATCGATTAATCGATTAATCGATACGATCCTATTTTACAATGCGAAAGAAAAAAAGAAAATTGAATTTTTTCACAAAACCGTATAAATCTAATAGTTTATAGTTTTCATAATTCTTCTTAGCAATTTCCTTTCACTTATTTTTTTTTAGATTTTTTTTTTTTTATGTAGAACATGAGAAAGAACCGAAATGACTTTTGGTTTTAATTGTGTGATTTTAGGTGCGGTTACTAAAATTACATTTACTTTTCCTTTTCCTTTTTTTTTTTTCTATTATTTTTATTGAATCAAAAAAAAAAGAAATAAAAATTTCCGAGAAATCTATAACGAATAAGAAAAGATAGAAAGAAAGAAAAAGGAGAAAATCAATAGAAAGAGGAAGAAGGTACAACAACAGCAGCAACAACAATAAAAACAACAACAACAACAACAACAACAACGACAACAATAACAACAACAACAACAACAACAATAACAACAACAACAACAAAAAGTACAATTTTACCGTTTGTTTGTTTGTTTGTTTGCTGTTTTCCAGCATTTATTCTATAAATTGCAACCTTTGACGCAATCAATCGTTTTATATATGACGCATACACAATAACGGCATAACAGATCCAATAAAAAATTGTTATTAATAATAATAATAATAATGAATCAAGTGCAACATTTTTATTTACTGACCGTATTTACAATCACATTCAAACCTAACGGTGTAAAAAAAGAAAACAATCAATGCTACCAAAACCAAAAAAAAAAAAAAAAAAATTAAGGAATTTTAATTGCGCATTTTTCTAAATATAAAAATGACGTCAAGTTCAAAAAAAAAAAGGATTAAATTGGGCATATATATATAAGTATGCGAGCCTAAAGCAAAATCGAACAAACAAACAAACAAACAAACAGAGACCTTCCCTAAAAACAAAAAAAAAAAAAAAAAAAAAAAATTACGAAATCGTTTTTGGCTCCGTGCGTAGAGTAAAACAGCCGGCTACGCACCGCAGATTTACGCATTTTTGTTCACTTGTCACACGAATAAATAAATAATTATATTTTTCAGGTATCCGATAAGTGTACCTCGATGGACCAATCAATGTCTCTCCCCCTTTCCCACTTCCTACCCTCCCCCTCCGTTTTTAATGAATAAATTTCGAACGCGACCTCAACCTGAACCATTTTGTTCTTTTCGCGAGTGTTTATTATAAATTTCGATCAAGGTTACATTATACACCACAATTAATTGCAACATTCAATCGGACTTACCGGCCATTGGTGGTGATTGTTGTTGGCAAGATTCCTTTATCGATATCCAGTTTCCTGGAGAGTTTTCTGGGTTTGGCCGGTCTATGACACGGCCCGGCGACCACTCCCTGTTCAGAGCTCTTTCTATTCGTTGAGGAGGCGAAAACCAATTTTTTTTTCTACTCGGCGACACCAAACCGTAATCCAGACTTATAACGGATGACGATCTACCGAATTCGTACGACGTAAACGGTTCTTCCGGATTATGGTTCTTGTAAAAACCATTTTCTTCTTCTTCTTTCAATCTTTTCCTCTTGTTGGCATCCATCGGAGATATCCATTTACCTTTACTCGGATAATTTTTTATTATCTCAACGATTTCAATTCCATCATCTCGCCGATGTTTTTTTTCATCGTTTTTTTTTTCTCTTAATGACGTCATTATTTTATTTTTTTACTATTATTTTCATTCATAAAATATCTGCAAGAAAAAAAAAAAGCAAATTAGTACACGATAATTAACTTTTTCTCTCTTTTTCTCCCTTTTTTCCCTCCCTTCCCTAAGGGATCATAATTTTTTTTTTTTAAATTCCTGAGGTTTTTAAATTAATTACATACGTGAAAGTAATTTGAAAAACGTGCGTGCGTGCGTGCGTGCGCGTGACCCATATAATATAATTTTTAAATTGACGACAAAAATTTTCATTCATTAAAAAAAAAAAAATCCTCCATTTTTTTTTTTTTGCTCAACTTTGAAAAGTAAAAACGTACGCGAAGGTAGATGAAAGAGAGAGAAAGAAAAAAATTATGGAAAGCGTGAAAACCAACAAACAAACAAAAACGCAAACGTGCGTCGGCTACCCGAAAAAATTTTAATTACACGATAAGTAAAATACCTGAAATGACCGTTCGTGCGTTACGACCGGAAACAATACGAGTTTATACTTTTCACGCAGATGAAGAAGCAGACGAAATCGTCGATCGGCGTAAAGAAAAAAAAAACTTGCGACAATAATTAAAATGTCGCAATTTTGAAAAGAAAGAAAGAATGAAAGAAGGAAGGGGGGAAAAAATGTTTTGGAAAATCATGACACTTTTTAACGTTTTTTTTAAAAAATCAAATCGACAAAAACACATAATAATAATAATTATAATAATAATAATAATAATAATAATAATAATAATAATAATAATAATAATAATAATAATATTTGTTACGTAATAACAACGACCAATAACACAATTTTGTGAAATGAGGTTAATGACCCTGATATTCTCATTATTGACATTCAAAAAAAAAAAAAACAAAATGTCCGATAACTATACCTACCAACTTCTCTTTCCTTTGAAGAAAAATCGTCACAAAGGACAACGAGTCGAAAAATAAACCGAAAACCTTTTTTTTTTTTACCTTTTAGTTCTACCTTTTACACAATTTTCTTTTCTTATTACGAAACATCACCTCACTGGATAAGAAAAAAAAAAAAAAAAAAACGCCACAACCGCTGGAATTTCAATTTTTTTTTTTAATTTTTAATTGTGATAATAATGAAACTCACTCACCATTGCATCAAAATAGAAATCGATTTCAATGGAAAAAATACTTTTAAAATAACGTTCCAGGAAAAAGAAAGAAATAAGGGAAAAAGAGAGAGAGAGAGAGAAAGAGAGAGAGAAAGAGAAGTGGTGGAGAGAAGGAAATAAACTGGAGAAAATTCATTAGAGAAAAAAAATTTCTCTCGCACACGTTTTTTTTTTTTTCTTTTCAAATAAAAACAAATTAATTATTAAATTCGATCGATAATCGATAATTATTGATTTACAAAAAAAAAAGAAAAACCGAACGAGAGAGACAGAGAGAGATAGAAAGAATTAAAGGAATCATAAAAGGTCGAAACAGAATATTTCAATGGTGAAAAAAATTTTCATTTTTTTTTTTGAACAAACATTCGATTAAAAAAAAAATTAATTGAGTTAATTAATATTGTGCGTGAGTGTGTGAGTGCGTGTGGAGTTGTATGATAACCTTCAAAGTTTCAAATATTGCGCGAGAAAATTTTTTTTTTAATTTTGAAAAATAGGGCGTAGAAAACTCAACAATCGCCAAAAAAAAAAAAAAATAGTGTTTATAAGAAATAGAAAAAGAAAGAGACAGAGAGAGAGAGAGAGAGAGAGAGAGAGAGAGAGAGAGAGAAAACATAATGGCGGAACATAAACAATTACGAATAAAGAAAACAAAACAAAAAATAAAATTTCCGACGGTATAGCCAACAGTAAAAAAAAAAAAAAAAAAAGCAGACGACAATCGGAAAAAACTTCAAAAATCGTCGTAAATAATAATTTTTTATTGCGTCACTTATTTCAAAACCTTTTTTTACGCAATCGAAACTTTTCACACGCACACCCCCTTCCCCCTTCGCTCCCCCATTTGTGAGAATAAAACGTGGAGAGGATGATAACAGGGCACGTAAACAATAAAATGATAAAACATTTGATGAGTTCACAAAGTAAAAACTTGATTTACGCTTTCCTTCGAAAATTCCAAAAACAATAATAATGATAATGATAATAAATTACAAAAACGTTTAAAATATAAATAATAAGTCGGGGGGAGGGGAGGGGAGGGGGGAAAATTTCGTTTACGCGACAAACCTTAAAACGTTTTGCCCATATTTGATATTGTCAGGCACGCCAACATAACATAAATAAAAACAAATTTCCCTTCTCGTCTAACCTTCTTCTTCTTTTTCCAGAATTCTCCATGATGATAATATGAATTCTATTTTATTTTAAACAAACGCATCGTCGTCAAATTTTTCATCACACGGGTAAAAAGAATTTACAAGAGAATAATAATAATAATAACGGTAGAAAAATTACTACACCGGAAGTTAAAAATAAATAAAGAACGAACATCGACGGTAAAAAAAAAAAAAAATGGCGGACGCGAATTATGTCATTTAAGACCGAAAAAAAAAAAAAAAAATTTAATTTATTACTCGTTTCGTAACGACCATTTTAATACATAAAAATTATGTAAATAAAAAATTTAATAAATTAATAAATAAAATTTTTGTCAGTTTTTTTTTTTTACGTGCGTGCGAAAAAATTTATGGACATTTCTCCAGGAGAATGATGATGATGATGATGATTTAGGGAGAGAAAATTTTTTTTCGGAAAGGATCGTCGTCACCGGTTAAATTTATACGTCTTTTGCTGTCATAATCGCATCATTCGTATCTCTCTACCGACTGGAAATTTCTCCAGTTAATCATCATCATTAATCGTAATAGAAGAAAACCTTTTCTTTTTTTATTTTTTTTTCTGGAAAAACCATTATTCGAAAACTTAAAAGATAAAGATCAAAAATGGTTACGTATTTGATTTCATTTTCTCCAGAATCTAGTTTATTTTCTCCGGTCAGGGTGTGACCAACATTCGAAAATCACGGAGAAATGATTCTGGAAAATTTAATTATATCCAGTAATAAATTTAATTTAAAAAAAAAAAAAAAACGTCTCATGGAAAAATTTACCGCGTAATTGAATTCCGTAACGAATTTTTTATTTAAATTACGATTGTGATCGTCGTGTATACGTCACGACTTCCGGTGGAAAACGTCAAATTAATTATTATTATTATTAGGTCGCGCAAAATAGTTCTCTCGGTAATAAAATAATTTAAACGCTTGTCACTTGATAAAATTTAATTAATTAAAAAAAATATGGTGACGTTTTTTTTACCACTTTTTACCGGTACAAATTATGGGATGAAAATAAGAAGGAAGTTAAAATAGGAAAACGCAATGAGAGAGCGCGAACCGTATAATTTAATATAAACACCCGACAACCTCCATTTATCGGGGGAGGAGAGGGGAGGGAAGGGAAGGGAGGGGGCAACAAAACAGGGCTGGATCGTTAACAATGTATAATATACCTTCCAGCGGGCAACATTAAACGACTAGTTCTCTCCAGAAAGAAATAAAAAATTACCCTAAGGAATTATTTCCACCAACTTCTTTCCCACGCTCGTGTGTGCTCGATATGGCAACCAAATTCGTTCAAAACAAACTAGGACAATTTTTTTTAAAAGCCCAATAGAGGGAAACACAATCGAGTCGACGATTAACAATAATAATAATATATTTACGAATCAAAAAAAAAAGAGAGAGAAGATAACGTAAGAAAAGTTTATCCTCCGAAGATAACAGCATCACGAGGGAATGTACAACGAAAGAATCAGATGAGAGATGATTACGTTTCCGGTTTTTTCTTTAAATCCGCTCTCACGTTCCGAATGATTTCATGTAATTTTTTTTTTTTTTAGAGTCGAACAAACGGAAGACAACCAAAAATTCTAAAAAAAAACGTCCTTGACGAGATACCCTTTCCGTTTTTGCGTACGGGAGAATTATCACGCGGGGGGGAGGGGAAAGACTTAACACGCCTCATCAGAACGAAAGGAACTACCCGATAATACACCTGGAAAATAGAAGAGATTTTCCAGGAATATATTCTGGTATATTATTCTTCGAGTTTCCACCGTAAACGTGGTTGGTTCGTACCCTCGGGATTTTTTTAATAACAAAGCCAAAAGCGTTGGCTCCACGTCATTTCCTACTGCCTACAGTTTAAGGTAGTGGTTGTTGTTTGTTGTTGTTGATATTTAATTTCATTTCTCAGGGCCGTAATAAAGATAGGAAAAAAACAAAATAACCGTTTGTTTTCTATTTTTCCTTATTATTTTTTACGCGAATGGAGGAAACGACCCCAAAATCCCCTTCCCCCTTTAAAAAAAAAATTTCTACGAACGTTTCGGTGATGATAATAATAATAATAATAAAATAACGTGTTTAAGAGAATCGATTGAAATTATACGAGTGTGAGATACATATATATATATATATATATTACGGCACGAATTCAAGTAATTATTAAATAATCACGATCAAAAATTATGTTACACCCTTCCAGGCATACGCAACACTTGCTCATAGTTCACACACGCACACGCACACCCAACATCACAACTTCCTGTTTAGCACGTCTTGTTTCGTGTCACCAAACAAGGTAATTTTAACTTAATTTTTAACCACCCCGAAGGCTGCCTTTTGGTTTTACACACACACACACAAAAAAAAAAAACTTGCTAAATGTCTCACCTAATTTTAACATGATACCTGCTCGACATCGAATTCAATCTTTCCGGTTTTTCTTTCTCTCTTTTCCATACGATTTTCATTACAAAAACATTGAAACCAAAAAAAAGTAGAAGATGGCTTGGTCGGTTCAAAATCTAACCAATCAAAACGTGACACGTCATAGAAACCAAAACAAGAGGGAAAAAAAAGAATTTAAAAAACGATTTCCCTCCGTTTTCCTTCCCTCTTCTCCCCCACGTGCGTTTTTCGTATTAAGCAACAAGTTTTAAATCCACCATCGT